ATCATAATGAAAATAGATCTACCTTGATGAAGGTCAGCACTCTTGGAGTATTTTTTTTCTCAGTACTAATATTTCCCTTAACCCACATTCACATACCAGATAGGTGAAGTGTTCTTCAGTGTGTCTGCAGATGAAACCAATGAAATGCTGGAGAGAAGGAAGGAGGAACTGGAGGAACAGACCAAGAGTATAGAGCAGCAAGTCAATGAACATAAGCAAGTGCTCTCGGACTTGAAAGTACATTTGTATGCCAAATTTGGTAACAATATCAATTTAGAAGCAGAAGAGCAAGCAGAGCCTTGAAAGTGACTTATAGCTGTGACACTGGGAGTTTTTTTTTCTTTTTTTGATATGATGACTATTAGAGCTATCTGTGTGAAGTGTGTGTGGTTTGTTGAAAATCTAAGTCGAACAAGGTTGGGACACTACTTGTAAATCATAATTGGAGGCTTAGGTATAAAAATAGATGCCTGTTGAGATACTGAGAATGATGCATGAAGATGAAGCAAGTAATAAAATGATAGACAAGAAAACCGATGTCCAGCATTGTTTAAGAGAACCAGATTTTTATGCTTGAAAGAAAAATGTTTTCTGACTTAAACAAGAAATAGAAATTAGAAGTACTTTGTACAAAAAAATTTTCCCTGAATTTGAGAATGCTAAGTGACGGCTCACCAGAAATAATCTGAACATAAATTGAAAAACATAGTAGTAGAAAAGGCTATAATTGTANTTTTTTTTTTTTTTTTGCATTTCGTAGAGCTTGTCAAACTCAATACTGGGGGTGGTATCCATTTTTTGTTTTTGATATGGGTTAGGAGTTGCGCTATATTAAAAAGTACATTGCAATATTTAGTGGTGAAATAAAATGTGAAATATTCCAAAATGGCAGACACACAACCATAGTTACTATTGCCCTTGAAAAGGAAAAAAATGATGATTATCTACAAAAAATGAAAACCCTTGTTTACTGCATTTCCTGTATAGCTCGTCAACCACAACACTACAAGTGGTGTCCCCCCTTCTTCTTTTTTACCATACGAATGTGCTTACTCCAGCTGGTGGTACAATACCAGGAGGCGGTATCGCCTCTCTGATCCTCTAGTTTCAAAAAGGGACAGAAAATGAAAACCCACGTTCACTAGTCACAGAAATGGGGTGTTTCAGAATTAGGCCTTATATGGTGAAGGGTCCGTGCCTTTCTGGGAAGTAAAAAGTGGTTTTCCCGGGTAATGAAAGAACAGAATTGGACCCTCCTTGAGTAACAATTTAAATATTTATAAAAACCTCCTTACGTCATGTCTAATCAATCATGACTGAGCCACCACAAAATATATTGGTACGCAGTATAAAAATTGAAATGCAATGACCTGGAACATACGTTACCGTACATTTTTAAAAAACTATTTAGGACTCTTTGCTTAACGTAAAAGACATGATAAAAATTAAAATTTGAATTTAAATTGAGACAGTCGTAGATTTTTGTTCTATACACATATATCTTTTTTAAAAAATTGAATACAACTTTGAATTCATTCAATTTTATTTTTTTGACACTTCAGCATGTGAAAAGCACCTCTATATTGGGTTTGGGTGTACTGCAGTGATTGAAGAAAGCGGCTGTCAAGCATGAAAATACTAGTGAATTTAGTAAAGCAGACCGAGCTCATGTTTTGGAGAAAGTAAAAGGGCAAGTGGAGGACAGACATCATTTTGTCTTTACTCACCTGAAAGAAATTTGTCTCTGCTTGAAATTCAGATTTTATATGAGGCAGTTTTTCAGGTTTTCCCAAGGTTGCTGCCTCTGAGATGTCCCAACTGACCTCCACTGAGGTTTCACTGTTGATCTTCTTAATGACAAGGCTATGATCTGAAATTGGAGTGTTAAATCAAGATAGATTGCACATATATATATTTTAGAATAAAATCATGGCACCTGTCCAGGTAAAAGACGCTTTTATGCGTGTAAAAAGACACTCTGTATAGTTTAAATCTTAAGTTAAGTAAAAGTTGGATTATACTAAAATTTCTATTTATCCAATAGGCAGTAATGAAAAAATATTTTTCTCTTACCTGCACATGCATCTACCTCTTACTTAACGTTAACTTTGTATGACCTAAGAGAGGACGCAAAAACATTCACTGAGTCCTGTGCCAAATACAAGTTTTACTCTTTGTGTGGGTTTTTCCATTGTTTTTGTTTACATAGGTAGTGCTTAGTGACGCGACCTTGAAAAGCAGACTGCCTTTGTTGTTATTTTGGAGGTTTATAGCGTGTAAATACCAGCACCGACTGTGGGGTGTTTATGTCAAGCCACCTTGACAGCGGCTTCAAAACACTTTTATTCATGGCTGCATCTGCATCTTCTACCATGTTCACATTTGAAGAATAGACATTAATAAATCTGGTTAATGTTGTTCTCTTGTGAAAAAGGCAAGTGTATAATTTTTATCAGTACATAATTTGTTAAGAAATCTGGACAAATATAATTCGTGGCAAGTTTGAATTTGAAGGATTCCGGATATCAGCAGAAGCGAGATTTTTTCTACTTTCATCGAATTTCGGACTTTTTGTGAACCAAAAAATATTTGAGATCACTGCTGTGACCCTTTACCCTACCCTACCATAGTTTCAGATATTTTTTCATTAAAAAGTGGAAGACTCATCCTTGTTTCATTTTTTCTGTATCATACCTACATGTAACTATGACTGACTGAATCTGTAGACTAATCAGGTTACAAAACATCATTCCTGTAATTATTATTATTATTTTTTTTTTTTTTTTTTTTTTTTTTTTTTTTTTAATATTTGGGGGGAAGAATCTTAGTAGGAATTTAACCAAATCAGTTTGGATATATTATAGCCAATGCAAGCTGATGAACCTATTCAGAAAGGCTTGCATTTAAACTTTTTTAGAAAATGTTTGACATTTTTGCAGTCTAGTTCTTTCTAATGCCATGATTATTTGTAGAGAAATATCTGTACAGTTTGCATATATACTTTTCCCCATTGGCTTTAATAAAATTATATTTAATGCACCTTTATATCTAAGCTCGTTCTATACTATTAACTCCACATTGACTGCAAGGACAGGCCATTTTGTTTTTGTGGTACACGTTATTAGCGATGCCTGTTTGGGGATGAAATTTTTCGCGACTATCAGCAGATTTCCAACTTTTTGCTCCCAATGCCATGCCATATTTTTTCTACTTTTTCACTGCTACTTTGCATCGATTAGTTTACCGTGCAGAAGGATTATGTAATTGTCGTTCCATCGGCCCTTCAAGGACAGGGAGAATCTTCACATTTGATCTCTTCATATTTTTCATTCACGCACAATGAAAACAGGCTTGTTGAAGTTGGGTATGTGAAAACATATTGGTACATGTATATGGCGGTGACTTGGTATAAAATTGCAGCATAAACAGCCATAATTATGGAATTAAATTTACTTAGTTCTGATACATGGTATAGAATATCGTTCAGAACCCTCGTGGACTTTTAATGAAAAACCATTTATTTTATTTGTGGTGCCAAAAATTACCTTATAAGAAACATAGGTACACCAGTAAGTGCAAGGAAAAATACATTTTATTTTCTGAGGTTACATCATTCAACAAACATTGAATGGTCTAGATATCTTTTGTCTTTTTCTGCAAAGCATGTAAGCAAAACTAGCAAATTTAAGTAAACAATCATAGATCCTTTAAGACAAAAAAAAACATTTTTTCCCTTTTTTCACCTTTATCGACACATTTTATTAGTTCAGAGACCAATGCATCATCACAACGTATAACAAAATTTTATATAACAATCCACAATATTTATTCCATCATTTTAATCACTGCACCAACAGCATAGATTACCCAATATGCATAAGTGAAACAGCGAACAAATCAGTTGTGATTGTACTGCGACCCTCGTCGACTGATCCCGAAGCTAAATCGTTTTTTTTTTTCGAGTGAGACGGAATCACACGACTCGCACGAAATCAGATTTGGATTGTGCTAGGTGTGACAGTCTCAACACAATGTGCTTCACCACAACAACGGCAGGATTTGTCACTACGGAATGCCTCCAAATCTTCAATGTTCTTTTCCACCAAGCATGTGTCAACTTCTATCCATTACCTTGTAAAATAAATAAGCATTAATAAAAGAAATGGCTTTCATTAATTATCATCACTTCCTTATTTAGATGTACATGCAGCGATTGATTATTTGTACTCACTAGATAACAAAATTGACAAAAGGAAGTACAAATGTTGTTCAAGGCTCCTTAAAATAAGGAAAAAACAGCATTTTGAAAAAGTATAGTACACAAGCTAATTTTATAACAAAGTGCAAATATGTTGGGTATAATAAGTCAGAGAAAAATAATAAATTGTGATTAAACAATGCTTTAAGCCAGAGACAAACTTAGATTGTGCAATGCCAAATGTTGTGCAAATTTCCAAACAAGCATTACATCTCATTGCTATCTTGCTTTCTTATTTTCCATATTAAATCAACCTTCAGATATGACTAGTAAAAAAATCCATTTGAGAGAGTATTTATACTGACATTCATGGTTTAAATACTGCACTTATAAATAATAAAACATAAATATAAAAATTACATTTTAATTTAATATTTACATTTTACAGAAAAAAAGTATTATTAACAATACGAAACAGATTATCATCCACAATAGGTTTTGTTTAAAAGAATTCAGTTACGTGACACTGTACAAAAATCAACAGTATGGTTATTAATAACAAATTAAAGTCAAAACAATAAAACAATCCATACCACAGTTATATTAAAACAGAAAAATAAGTCACATCATTGTGTCATTGACATAAATAGTAGCTTTAAAAATACTTAACAATGATGTTAAAGCAATAACCACGTTGACACTTACAATACTATTTCCAGTAAATAATAATGATAATAATAACAATAAACAATCACAGCTCCATACACTTCCTATATACCATACATGTAATCATATTAAAAACTGTAAACTAGATTTTTTTGTGTGTCACCAAATACCAAGTTTTTGCACCAAGTTAACAAATGCAGTAGATTGTTACAGTGCAGAGAAGCAGTGCACGTGTGTTCCCAGTTCTACCCCCAATTTCACTCTGTTTACTGAGATACATATACATTTCATAAGCTGTGTACTTGGGTTACTTGCATTGCAAAAAATTCAGTTTAGACCAAATTAAGAATGAAGCAAAATACATGTAATTGCAGTGTAAAATAAGAATAAAATATCAAGTACAAATTCAAAAAAAAAAAAAAAGCATTGGTCAACCTCCAAGCATGCAAGGTTATTGCTGATTTCCAGGTCAAGGTCAGTTAAGGTCAAGGCCAATGTCAAGTTCAAAATTAAAAGCAAGGTCAAGGTCTGGAATAAGGCTCCTGTTCAGTTCAAGGGTTAAAGTGAAAGCCAAGTCCAGGGTTATGACCAAGGTCAAAGGTCAAGGTCACTCAAGGTTGTTGAGCACTAGCACCACATCACTCAAAGCTATAGTTATCCACTTTCCCATACTTCTGTTTGAGGCGTTGAAGTTCATCCAGGGACCAGTTCCCCGTGGATTCCCCATCCTTTCCTGCATGGACCTGCTGCCTTACCTTGGCACTGTGGCTGCGACCTTGCACAGGGACCTGGAGACACATAGTGGGGTATATTGTAAATAACGTCTTCATTCTTAGTGTGTGCACAGATTGTGATGTTATTGATACTACTCTGTATTATGGCATTTATCTGATGTGAGCAAGGGCAATCATGTAACAATATTTACAAACTGTCAGTGACAGTTGTGACACATGTTCAAGCTGACTGTGTTACAACCATGAAACTGTGTTAGAGAGTTGTACTCAGTACTAGTATGACAGTATTGGTATTCTATGTTTGATCCGAGATTATTTTCTAACATTCCTCATAATCACATCATGTAAGACTCCAGTTTTACAACTTGTGATACCAGTTTATGTTATCATTACTGAGGAGAATCAAACTCTAAAACCTCATGATCAGCTGATTATGACAATATCTTAAAATAATGTCTTCCTGTGCTTTTACACTAAATACTGCACATATTGCTGAGTGTTTGTACATCAGTTGTATATAAGACAAATCAAAACAAAGTATAATTGTTAAACAATGCATTTTCCAGTATATGTACAGTATACTGTCATAAAAGGACATCCATGATTACATATTGCTTTTTTTTTTTTTTTTTTTTGCATGTGTGTTTACTGGCATATGTTGAAGTCTAGATATCACAGAGCATATGATCCAATAATTATACTCATTTAATACAATTCAAATGAAAATCTACTCCTATACAAAGCATTTCCCCACTTACTTTAATCTTCTGTGCATCTTTATCCCTGGTTAGTTGGTCTACGGTAACCGGCGCCCCTCTGTCTGGGTTTGTGGCAGGCGTGGGGCTGTCAATACGACCTGCCTTGGTGGTGGGACTGGTGGCTGGACCTAGGTTATATGGAGAAAGAGTGATAGATCATATATATATATATATATGAGATGAGCTGGACCTAGGTGACATAGAGGAGAAAATGATAGATCATAAATATATAGGAGGTTTCAGGTAATGTGTAACCCATTTAATCAACCAGTACATTGAATTATTGTTGACCTATCTCAGGGGCGGATTTAAGCCGTCTTCTGGGTCTTCCAGAAGACGGTCAGATTTTTACATTTTACATTGACGGGTATCTAATTTTTTTGTCGGAAGATGGTCTAAAATGGAAGGTGGATCAATTAAGATGATGTGGAAGCCTGTCAGTAAATATCTTTGGATCCGCCCCTGTATCTTGTACAAGTCTTGTGGACATTTCTTTTTTCTTTATGATAAGCTGAAATCTTGGTCCAAAAGTTAACTGCCAGACCAATGAATCTTTGGACTAATGAACCTTCTGACTATTTTCATGTAGCTGAAACACTGTCTAATAACTTGACTCTTCATGTAACATGCACAAAATGGCATATTCGATCCATAAGTGTATAAGTTACAAGGGGCAAGCAAAGTGTACTCTGTGGGTTTGTTTGTCAGAACAGTTTTCTATACATCCACACTTGTAAATAAAGGGTAATACTGTGCAAATGTGTTAATCGAGGGGAACCAAATTACAATACCACTGACCACGTGAATTGAATAGACTGATAAGTTGGATGCAAAATTTCAATATCTGATGGCATAACTGACTTGGTGTTATAACTATATGTAACTATTATAAGGGGAGGGGAGTGCCAGTCGTTGGTTTGTGCATGCCCTCCTGTTTACTCACCTCCAACACGCACACACTCCTCTTTGTGTCGCGCATTCCACGCCTTCAGCTTGCACGCTTTGCTGCAGTAGTACACCTCCTTACACCGCGTGCACACGGACAGGCGCACACCTACTGATCGACCGCATTCGTAGCAGTATTTCAGTAAAGGTTTCCTAAATATTGAGAAAAAAAGAATCACAAATTGACATTATTAACATAAAATATATGTTCTAGTAAGGGCATATTTAAAATGAAGAAACTTTTCTTTCAGACTGAGATTATGTACTACAGTTATGTTACAACAATCAAACACTACATGTATGTAATATATATATCTTGTACACTTTTTTAAGTTGCTAAATGAACCCATCTCTTGTTTATGTGTATCACATCATTATATAAAAACAACTCTGTGACATCCATTGGTAGTCTAGTGCTTTCTATTAACCTGTAATAATAATAGTCAGTAGTTTTATGTTCTTCAATCTATATGTGCTCATGATCACTCCATGCTACAACAAACAACACTGCAATCTAAGGTGGATTTTGCTAGTACATGGGAGAAGGCGAAGTACAGGTATATTACCCCCCCCCCCCCCAATAAAATTTGAAAAATTGTCTAGCTCTAAAACCCAATTCCTACCATCTGTAAGTAAAATCCATATTTATACCTTATGGGTCTTATTTTGTGCTCTGGCAATAAAACATGCATACCGTTTTGCATGTAGTTAAGCTTTCCAGTCACGTCTGGTTTGTGATATTGAGCCATCCTTATTAAATTACCCAGAATTATACCAAAAAGCATTTAAAAGTACACACAGGTTGTTTTGACTCTATGTATATTTCTACTGTCAAAGGTTCTGTGCAAACTACACCGTGTACATTGTACTGGTACATGTATCTACAATGTCCTGCAGCATGTCGCAAATTAAAAAACAACACCATACATTGGGATCTAGCATACAAGTAGGTCTAGTATATATATTCAATACCGAAGTGCTAGCTTATTATCTAATCTGTGTTTGCTGTCAACCAACAGTGTGCTACATGTTATTCTAATGTGCATGGCACTATAAGTATTACTCACAAATTTTTTAATTATTCAAGTTAGAAAAAAAAAAAAGATAGAAAGAGTTATATTTCATCATCTTTCTGAAATTTCTGAATCCCCATCAATTTCCTTTTTATTCATTTTTCCCACATAGTAACATCAAAGCAGCATCTTTAGAGATATTGATAATTTTGTGTAAATTTTGTGAGTAAACACCGTAACAGTGCCTCATATTGCAGTAGTTGTGCTGGAATCCCGTCATGGGTTGCTGTAAAATGTCTGTATACATCTTATTCCAGATAATTCACAGAGCGTGCTAGCAGTGCTATGCGTGCAATTATTACAATAAAGCAAGAATCACCTGACACGCATGCCCTTTATAAGTGAATTCTTCTTGTTCCTTCAGAAAATAAATCATTAATAATAAAAGCATTAGTTCATGGCAGACAAAAGCTAGGATTATTGGATTGACTGGTAATCAAGTATGTTATACACATGGTGCATCACAATCATCATTCAAAACTATACAATGTATACAAATGTATATAAAACATATGCAAATGCATAGACAATTTATACAATTGTATACAATATATACAAATCATATATACAATGTTGCAGCATGCAGTAGGAATAAAATCAGATTTTACTTTAAACTGCCCACTTCTCACTTAAAGTGAAGTATAGCAATACAAAATAAGAGGAACATATTATTATATATAATACATTATATTATAAATGATCTGCCTAAATGATAAAATGTGTTACTTTGGACCCAATGTGGCCCATCAAAAAACAATTTAAAAGTAAATTGTGATATTCTTCAAACTGCACTGCTGAGATGCTCTGAGCACCCTGGGATTATGATTTAACTGGGAACATAAAGAAACTCTTGAAAGAAGAGGTTTCCAGTAAAGCTTGAATGAAACCTAAGGTGGGCATGTTGAGCAATTATTAAATTATAACACAGGGCAGAATCAAGATGCATTATCTTCATGTCTTCAACAGTCAGCTGACAGTATTGTTGTTTATCATGAACAATGATAGCAGCATTGTTACAGAGACAACACCAACATCATGTGCTGGCCAGTCTTCAAGAACAATCACAACTTACAGTGATGTAATGTAGCAATAGCAATATCAGTATACATGTACACAGCAGTAAAGCAATCATGTAGGTATTGGTGGCTCAACAAAAACATTCACAACTGCAACAGTGATTCAACAACAGCAGCATTGGCATATACAGCGGTGATACAATCATGCATTGCCTTTCATCAAAAACATTCACAGCGGTGATACAATGTTGCAGTGATATGAGGCAGCCCAGCAATAGTGATGGCAATAGCCTGGCAGCATGACAAGACTGAAAAGACCCGAACCTGACTTTTGTCTGCTGTGCTTTGCGTTTGGCTGGCGACAGAAGATGCCGTGCTTCGCTCTCCTCGAGAGCCATCACCCCTGTAGCTACACTGAGAATTGAAAGATAACAGAAGAAAGATTGAAGCTCACTTCCCTTCTATAGCAAAATAAGGCAGAAACATTCCAGAGATTGTTAGGCAGCATACATTTACCAAGGCACTTTTGGGAGTAAGGCTGGTTCCTTTTAGTTCCCTCTCTGTCTCTTTCTCTCACACACAAACACACACATGCCTACACAACCATGCATACACAAAGATGCACACACATACACACACACACACACAAACAAAGACAAGCATAGCCAAACACACATATAGTTCCCTCTCTCTCTTTTTCACACACACACACACACACACACACACACACACACACACACACACACAAACACACACCCATACAAACATGAATGCATGCGTACATGCACACACGGTCTCATCCACCCTTGTCAGAGCCAACATAATATTAGACAAAAAATTAAGTAAAAATTAACAGTAATTAACTAGATAAGAATCAAACATCAAAAACAGTTATTTCTTTATATACATGCTGTCATATTCACTGCAAAAAGACTATCACACAATTCGATCTACAACAACAATTTTTATTGTTTATTAACATATCAAACATTTAATGTCACCCAAACAGAAATTCTGGCTGAAAACAAGTCTTATATAAGACGGAATTAAAATATTGAAATCAATATAACAATTTGGTCCAACAATAATTCAGTCACTCAATCAGTCAATCAACCAATCAATAATCTCACCAATCTATCAACAAAACAACTATATAATCATCCAACCATTTAATCAACACAATACAATAAACAAAGTCACCAGGTAATCATTTCTCACCTGACGTGTCCCTGGTCCCTGTCACCCTTCCGCCCTGCGGTATCTGCGGCATTGAACTTGACGTGGCCGTCATCTGGGACAGCGCGGCCTCCCTTGGCCTTGGTGCCCGGGGGTAGTTTAGACCCTGTCCCCGTGTAGACAAAACCTGAACTTGGACTTACACCTTAACAGAGAAATATTGTACAAGGTTAAATGATTTCTGTTAATTTCAAATGTGGTTAAAAAGTTTCTTGTGTTTTACTCATATCTGTGTGGCGTGACACCTCACATGAAACTTCAGAAATGGAATTTTTTATCTTGTTTACAATCATACTGACAACAGAGACTGAGAAACTGAAATTTCATTGTTTACTGATGAAAAAAGTTAGAGTAAACATGTTCTAGACAACATGTCAGCTGTATAATAGTTTTATCACCAGTCAGAAAAACTGTAATAGTTTTAGTTGTTGAATTTGACTACAAAATCCAGGTGCATTTTATTCAAGAAGGCCCTAAATGTAAGATCATTAATTTTACAAAGGCAGTGATACACTAAAGTTTATTTTATAAAGGTGAAGAAAGGTAAAAAGTGAACAGCGCTACAAACAAGGCATTGTCTATAAGCATCTACTTTCACTTTTGTTTTTCACTTCACATCAATGGCACATCATGACCTACTTCTCCTTCCCTCTCTCTCCTCCTCCTCTAGACGCTGTGCCTCTTTCTCTACAGCCTTCACTCGCATGATGTCACCCACATGCCCCAGCAGCTTACGCCGTGCATTGTAGGTGTCACGCTCAGCATGAGTTAATGCATGATAAGGCATGTGGGCTATCCTACGATCCTGAAAGGTAAGGGGACGGAATTGTGAATTAAAAAAAAGAGGGGGGGGGGGGGGCATAGTATTTCAGTATTCAGGAGATGCATCAAAATGAATGAGCAAGTTAAGGTATGATACAAGAATTTGTGTTGATGAAACTCAATTTCTTTAAAAATTAAATAAATAAAATAACTCAGTATTTGTAGAAACTAAAAAGTAAAAACTTGTACTAGCAGAAAAAAAGAAAAAAAAACATAAATTACACTAAAAAGAAAATCCCACTCACCAGATTAAACATGTGATATGCAAAGTCTACAGCAGTCCCAGAGATCCTCTTAATTCCTATAGGTATGGGAGCCAGGATGTCTGCACCAGCACGGATTAACTTGTCAATCTAGAAAAAAAAGAATGAGACCTTAATCTTTTTATCTATTTCACAGTCTGACAAATAATGTTTTCCTTGTTGTTTCATAGAAATCGTTTTCTACATGTGAATCTTTAAAAATATTTCTATTAACTAAGTACATTTAGGATAAGGATTGCGTTTTACAACATGATATTTTTAATATGTGTAATTGCAACTTCTACATGCTCACAAGCACATGCCACTGTGCAAAGCTAATAAATGGAAGAGTGACTTGCAAAATTCACAAATAAGAAAAGTTCACACACACACACACACACACACACCCACACACACACACACACACACAGAGAGAGAGAGAGAGAAAGGCTTACCAACTGTATACGCCCTGTTGGTGATCTTCTGTGTTCAAACTCAGTAGAAGTGGACACACACAAAGCACTGCCAATGCCGTGAGTCAGGGAAAGTGATGGGTTGGCTCCATAACATAGGAGCTCATCTATTGCCTGGAATAATGTAAAAATCATTATCATTATTATTATCATTTTAAAATTTGCAAAATATTTACATTTATAATCAGATCAAAAGATACAATAACTATGTAACTTATTGATCAACAAATAAAGGGTTAATTGTGAATCAAATAGCGAGATTATGACATCACATGTTCTTGATAATATTGTGACATCACAGGATAGTGTGACATCATATGATAAAGTTATGACATCACAAAAAGACTCTTAAACATTACGCAGAAGAAGTAATATTGACATTTCATATCAAATATATAAACAATACATGCCATCAAAACTTAAACATCCAATTAAACTTACAGTTTTCATAAAGTTACTGCATGTTTTACTGTTTTTTTTTCAAAATTCAAATCCATTATACATTTGTATAAATCTCTCAGTGAATATAGGTGGCAGCACTTACCAGGTCATTTCCACTGGCGATAGCCAGGGAGAGAGGAGAGTGTCCGTTACACAAGAGATTGGGATTGGCGTGGTGATCCAACAACAAGTGAACAACTTGACATGCAAACTGAAGTGATGGAAATTATAATGTAGAGTGATATGAGTTGAAAATGTGGAAAAACAATCACAGGGTGGGTGTGACATGCTTATTTATTATACCGATATATGTAGAAGTTTAACCGAGTTTTGCAGCAGTTTTGGTGCAAGACCCACCTGTATATCTACTATAGCTAGCATATGATCTAGATTCTTAGCCATTCCTTTACTACATGTAGTAGTGGCAGGGGCTTGGTTCACAAGAAGTGTAAAGTCAATAAGTTAAAGTAATATACTATGTTTTTTAAAAAATAATAATAATGTAAATATTCAATTTGAAAATGAATACACATTTAAATCTCACAGCTAGTCCAAAGTTTAAATTGCAAATTAATTATTTTTCTTTTAACTTTTTTATTAAACTATTATTTTTGATCGACCACATAAGATGTTAAATTGGTGAATATAGTCTTCTTTCCTTTCACTGTACACCACTGAGTGCTGTTCATAAGAAACTGAGCTCTATTTGTTTTATTATACCAATTATATACTGAGTATATGTATACATACAGTACCTTATAACTGTCATCCCTGGCACATGCTATATGAAGTGGAGTTCTACCCCCCAGCAGCTCTTTACTTTCATCACTGATCACATCCTTTATCCACTCCTCCTCCTAGAATGCAAAGTTTAAAAATAATAATACTTTGTCAGATGCATTGTGTTACTCAATTTAAAAAAAGTATATCAACCATAAAGAGATCAATTTTTTATTTCTACTTTATATCGTGTTTATATCCTAAGGTCAAGCTGATCGCACAGCACATGAAAGACCTGTTTCACCATACATGTACAATGAGAAACATACAATTCTTTAACAGTGAAATATTTGTACTTGTATGAGTCAATTGTCACGCTCATCCCATAGAATGGAGTCTGAGCCTTACCAAAGCTTTATTCAGGAAGGAGTCGTCCTCGGTGGCCCTAACATCAGGGTCCGCCAGCGCGTCCAGCAGGAGCTGGGAGATCTGCACCCCCTCCTCTCCAGGGATAGCACAGGCTATGTGGAGTGGAGCCAGCCCTCCTTTCTGATCATATGAAATAATAATAATAATAATTCACACTGTGAAAATTCTACGTTCTAATGCTTGAGATTTAGGGAGTCTTGACGACACCATAGCTCATTACTTGAACTAATGTATGTGCCATCACATAAGATGATGTGTGACTTCAACATAATAATAATAATGACAATAACAGCAGTCTATCTAGGACCATATTCATAATTCTGAGTTCTACATCTTAACTACTTTTACTCATCATTGTTAATTAACTTTCAACCTCTGTCAGTCATCAATTTCTCTCAATTTTTTTCCATCAAAACAAATTTTCTTTCTTTATATTTCTGATATTTCTGAGCAAAATGAAACAAAACTCATTGTCTCACCTGTTCTGAGAGCTTGGCACTGGTGCTGGCCCCCTTCAGTAACAACAACTTAACTGCCTCCACGTCTGCTGCTTTTATAGCAAAAAACAACACAGGCATAGGCACACATGATGCATTGGGATTGGCGCCACGTTTTAGCAGCAGTCGAATTGTGGACTCCATTTTGACGTGTTCCGCCTTTTTAATAGCCAACAGTCTGGCCAAGTCTGTGGATTGTTCACTTCTAGGGGATGACTTCCTGCTTACAATTTTCTCATTGATGCTCAACTGAGAAGCGCACTTTTCTATAAGCTGATCACTGACCTCTATACCATAATTTCTCATGGTGGTGTCAGAGGCAAAGTCGCTATCAGGTTGTTCTTTTTCTTGACTGGTTTGCAGCTTCTCTGCGTCTTCCAGGAGAGATTCCAAGTCCTGTTCTTTGCTCTCTTTTTCAGAATCACCTGAACGAACTTCTTCCTCTCCGTTGTATGAATTTTGTCCTTTCTCTTTGGCGATTTTCAGTTTTTCTTCCTCTTCCAGCCAATCAGTGACCCCCGATGCTCCCGACTGCGAGACTGAATCTTGAGGCTGTAAATTATCTTTTTGCGATCCCTTCAAGGAAACAGATCTACCCCCCACACTGGATGTTCCATCTTCCATGATGGAAACTTTTACATCCAAGTCTCCCTTACGCAACTCGCTCTGTGGCAAGCCACTGTCGGTGCTCAATTCCCTTCCACCAGGTGCCGCCACTCCTGCTGGTGCTTTTTCTGCATTTTTATTGGTTAAAATTCCTTTCAGTTCCAAGTCCGTACCCTCGACTTCTGGGGGTTTCTCCATATACCTCTCTGCTATGTTGTATTTGAATGACTCGATGGGGTAAAAGAAAACGTGGCAAGCTGCGAGCGCTGAGGTGCCTTCATCGTTCAGTCTATTTACATCGGCTCCGTTGTTGAGCAGGTGGTTTATGATGTCTTGGTGCCAGTTGACCTGTGATTATAAAGACAATTATGCCTGAATTTATTCCTATCATGATACATTAGGCATAACAATGTGTAAGGTGTTTGTAAAGAGGAGAAGTTTTATAAAAATAACATACCAGCTGACAACGAATATGTCTTTTTCATAGATCTGAGGATGTCATACTACTGAAACCCCCTTTTTTAAACAGCAAGGATTTAACTACCAGCAGCCACATAAAATCTTTTTGTCCATCTTGAAATAATCTTATTAAAAATAATCATATGGAATTACGTATTATCATTCCAAAAAAACTATAAGAATCAAACTACTCACAGCTGCACCTATGAGAGCCGTCTGTCCATTTTTATCAGCAACGTCCACAAAGACTTTCCCCGTCACCAGTAGCTTCATAACAGTATCAATGTCACCGTCCACAGCTGACAATATCAATCTCTCCGACAACTCCTCCAGGGGGCCCTTTGCCCCAAAACCCGTCCTTTCTCCCTTGAGTACTTTCTCCACATCAAACGACACTGTGCTCTGCGTGCGCCGATGCCTGTGCACGTGTTTTTGCATGCTGATCCAGGTGGGTGTGTTGTTCCAAGCTTTTATTGTCTCTTTTGTGTCCTTATCAGTGTCCTTGTTTTCATTTCCGAAAAATGCTTTCTCATAGATATCTCTCTCTGCTCCAAGGCTGCGGTGGTCAATGGCGGCACTGTACAGGCGCTGGGTTTTCTCTGGAACCTAGTTGAAAAAAAGATAAATGCAAACTTAATTCTTAGTAACTGAGTCAATAATGCTGCTTTTAATTATATTTGATGGCCAGTTGAACAACCTGTTTACCTAACCATGGGACATTAAGATTCCAAAATGTGCATCTTCAAAAATACTGAATGACACAAAATTTAGATACTATTCAGATATTTTATGAATACCATTTACTGAATTATAAATTTTGTCAATAAGAACATGAAATTATTTTTTTCATTGTCATTCTGTGATTGATTCAAATTAAATTCATCTTCCATCAATACAAATTTAACATGGCATAACTGATATATATTTAAACAATGTACATGTATGTCCATCAATATGAACTCCTCTACACACTTCTTAATTAATTTTTGCATTAACTTACCTTTGTATTGGGCCCATTGTAATCAAACTGCTGAGGTGGACAGAGGACTGGAGTGACCACAGATCGGTCAGTGGAGTACTCTCTCCTGTCCACCACAATGTCCAGCTCGTGCTCCATAGGGTCGTAGTCAAACTCCTGATGGTCAGTCATGGTGAAGGCCCCCGGGAGATCGGAGCAGAGTTTACATATCTGTTCTCCCGACCACAGCCCGACATCCTGGCGTCCATCTGGGTAGGTCAGCACGCCAGGACCAGACCGCTCGTCTCTGTGGTACAGACCCTGTGATGGTACACAGTCAAATATAAATAAATAAATAAATAAATAAATAAATAAATAAAAATTACAACAGCTGTTACAAAGAACAAGAACAACAATAACAATGACAGTAACAACAACATTTATAATAATTTAAAAGTTGTACATAATTATTTCTGTTTTTTTTTTTTTAGAATATTAGCAAAAATTGAAACAGTGAATAACTCATAGAAAAGTAGCTTAAACGCAAGCCATAAAGTGAAAAAAATTCTTATCAAAATATTGTTTGAATGAAAATGTTTTCAAAACCCAAAATTATAATGAAATTTCAGAATGTACCTCAAACATCTCTCCATTGGCGAAAGAGAACTTCCCATAGCCTTCCTTCTGGTCGAGATAGAAGGTGCCTGTGTAAGATGACCCATCAGGCCAGGTGTACGTCCCCTTCCCATGGCGATGGTCAAAGAAAAACTGACCCTTGTAGTGCTGGAAACAACAACAGAATTATTTCATTTAAAGTTTAATATGAGCAAAAGTCATATTATCTATGAAAATATATTACGGAAAAAACTCACAGATCAAAAATATCTGCCTGCTGCCCACCTCCTATTACTTCAATAAATATTTATATTTTGGGTATACACCTTCATATTTAAAAGACACACAAATTCCATCCATCATTGAATTGTGTTTTACCCTGAATGTAAGATACCCGCTCATTTGGTGATTTTTTTTTTTCATAAATCATACAAATATTTTCCTTTAGTCTTGTTAGCTTCACCAAGTCAATTTTACCTCTCCGTTGCTCCATGTATGGTCCCCCTCTCCATGTCTGAGATCTTTTTGGAAATCTCCACTGTAACAGCTACCATCAGGCCACTGCTGAACACCTAAAAAGAAGCAAATTTCAAATTGATCATCAACAACATCCCTCTCAGATCAAAATCCCTCTCAGATCAAACATTTCACCCATTTTATTCGAACACCTTTCTTATACCAAATTCAAAATTCAATATCTTTTATTGTAATATAACAAGTATGAATATCAATTACATACAGCACCTTCAACTTTTGAAATTTTAATGGGACTATAATATAAATATCTCTTTAAAATTTCTATTTACTATCACTTTGTTTTTATTTTCAAATTTAATTTATGTATTTAATTTGGCTGCTAGAAATATTATGACTCAATACAAATATGTTATAAATATTTTAAGGCACATTTAACTTAATTGTTTCAAGATAAATTCTGATGGCATAAACAAGCGTGGATTCAGATCATCATTTGGGTCTTCTGGGAGATGGTCAGAATTTTTCAAGTTTACATTGACGGGTATTTAATTTTTCTGTCATGTACAAGACAGTAGAAAATTGAGGATGGATAAAAAAACAACTGGGAAGACTGTCAGAAAATATCACTGGATCTCCCCCCCC